TCTTTTCTGGAGTTCCCACAGGAACACATCATCCCACTGTGGTACTGACAACTGGCAAAAGCTAGGGCCTCTTTCAGCTCGGTCCCCAAAACACTGGATGTCCCCCAACTGGACACGACTAAGAGAAGTTTGAAAAAGCCATCCAGGAAAACCCAGCAAGAACCCAAGGGAATGCAAGTCAGGGAGCTCCTTTGGGTTGTCAGGGGAGAGGAGACATGAGGAGCAGCAGGGCCAGAGTGGCAGTGCCTCCAGGGAAGACTTTGAGCATCACTGCCCTAGACTGAGAATAAGAGCCTGGCGCTGGCCTTGAGAGTGTAGCCAATCCCCATCGTTTGCGGTTGCCCTACTTGAACAGGCTTTATGAAATAATACACAGTTAAGTTGAGGGGGAAAGGAGGTGTTTATTAGGGGAAGAAGGTGACTTGGCAGTCCTGAATACTGAACAGCAGTATTCACAAGTGTCTGACTTGACATAATTAACCTTACTAACATCAATGGCATTGTTGACCTATCAAGACAAGCACAGTAAATACACAATATCAGGCATATCTGGGCCTGAATGAGAAGGAAAAGCTTATTCCTCATCAACTTTCCCTTTGAGGATTTCCATCAACCCCTGTCTTTGTTGGAGTGAGATCATTATTTTCTCCTGAAATTGCTTTATGGGAGGCTTGGTGAGGTGGGGGAGGGGAGTGTCAGTCTGTCACACAAGAACTGGTCACTTCCACATGGCATGCAGCCCTTTCCCTCTACTCCCCTCACCTATGTGATGGGGACAAGAAGCCTCCTCTTCCGGGTGGCTCAGAGGAGCAGTGCCAATGTAGGTAGGTGCCTGGCATATAGAATTCCCTAAAGTGGAGTGTGTCTTCCCCACATCTGATTAAGAACAAATCTTGGGGTAGCTGGCGGCGTGTACCCATGCGAGGTCAACACAGCCCACTAGCTCCCCTGACCTGTGTACTGGGCCAGCCCTGGCTGAGTCCTTTGAGGGGCTCAGGTTGGGCAGTTTGCTGGGTACCTTTGTGGCCAATATGGACATAACCAGACACCAGGAGAGGAGACTCCACCCACAAATGGGTCAGTAACACTCCAGACACAACTACAGAGGCAGGAAGATGGCTGCAGTGAGGGAGAGAGCATGAATGAATGAGGGAGCGAAAGGGGAGTGTGTGGAGGTGTGGGGTGTGTGCGTGTGCACATGAGTGAGGGACAGTTAGATCCCGCAGGACTTTCAGGGGCAGGCAGACTAGGCTCGCCTAACCAGGCAGCCTCTGCTACCATTACAAAGAATCCTGGGGTGGCCGGCTCTACTGCAGAGGCCATGCCTTCTTGAAGGGGAGAGCTGCTGTGACTGAGAGAGCAGCCTCACCTCCACCCAGGATGCCCTCAGACACCACCCAGGACTCTACAGCCACCTCAGCCAGGGACCTGCTGCCTTGGCTGTAGTCCCACGGTCACTGAGACTCAGCCACCCTGGCCACAGGCTCCTGTGAGTTCAGAAGCACACTACCCTCTGGCTGGTCCAATGCTTTAGCCCAGGGTGCCATGACCACACAAGCAGCAGCTGCTCGAGCAGCCCACCTCTGTCTGAGGAGCAGGAGCCTCGTGCAGCCTGTCCCCATCTGAGGAGCAGCAGCTGCACAAGCTGCACACCTCCCCTCCCCCCAGCCAGAGCAGCCACCACTGCTGCAAGCAACCATGCAAGCAACACCAACCAGAGGAGCTGTGGCCAACTGAGGAGCAGCCACTGCCACGACCGCCTGAGGAGCAGCCCCCACATGACTTGACACCTAGTTCCTTTGGTGAGAGCAAAAGTAGGCAGACAAAGATACCCCCCAAAGGAAAGAAAAGGAGGAATTGCCAGAAAAGGAGCTAAGTGAAATGGAGGCATGCAATATGTCAGAAAAAGAATTCAGAATAACGGCCATACAGTTCGTAAACCGGATAGATGAAAAAACTAACAACTCATGTAAGACTCAAGAAGAAATAAAGAATAATATAGCTGCAATAAAAAACACTATGGAAAGTTTCAACAGTAGACTAGGAGAAGCAGAGAACTGAATTAGCAAATTAGAAGACAGGGAAACAAAACACACCCAAACTGAACTACAATTGGAGAAAAATATTAAAAGACAAGAGGAAAGCCTAAGGAACCTTTGGGACAACATGAAATAAAGCAACATATGAATAATAGGGGTACTAGAATGACAGGAAGAGGAACAAGGGTTAGAAAACTTATTTGAAGAAATAATGTCAGAAAACTTCCCTGATGTGGGGGAGAAAAGAGTCACACAAACACAGAGAGTCCCAAACAAGATGAATCTGAAAAGACTCACACCAAGACACGTTGTAATTACAATGGCAACTGTCCAGGACAAAGAGAGAATCTTAAAATTGGCTGCAAAAGAGAGACAAAAAGTTATGTACAAAGGATATCCAATGAGATTATCAAATGATTTTTCAACAGAAACACATCAGACCAGAAAGTAATGGAAGGAAGTTTACAAAGTGATGCAAAGCAAGAGATTGAATCCAAGAATACTATACCCAGCAAGGCTATCATTCAAAATTGAAGGGGAAATGAGCTTCACAGACAAAAAAAGGCTAAGAGAGTCATCACCACCAAGCCAGCAAGGCAAGAAACACTAAAGGGACTGGTGCAAAAAGAAGAAATAAAAAGGGAAGAAGGAACACAGGCACAAAAAATAAAAATGGCTACAAACATGTACTTATCAATAATAACTTTAAACGGACTAAATGTTCCAATCAAAAGACATCTAGTTGCTGAATGGATAAGAAAACATGACCCATATATATGCTATTTACGAGACCCACCTGAGAACAAGGAACTCACACAGACTAAAAGTGAAGGGATGGAAAAATATCTTCCAGGCAAATGGAAATGGAAAAAATGCTGGAGAAACAATACTTATATCTGACAAATTAGACCTCAAAATGAAGACCATAACAAGAGATAAGGAAGGCTACTTCATAATACTAAAGGGATCATTACAACAAGGGGATATAACGCTGGTGCATAAACATATATGCACCCAATATAGTCAACTACATAAAAAAACTCCTGAAAGATATTAAGGGAGAGATTAACAACAATACAGTCATAGTAGGGGACTTTGATACTCCACTGACATTACTGGATAAACTCTCTAGACAAAAAATCAACAAAGAAACAGCAATCCTAAATGTTTCACTAGATCAGATGAACTTAATTGGCATCTTCAGGACATTTCACCTGAAAGCCATGGAATATACATTCTTCTCAAGTGCACACGGGTCATTTTCAAAGATAGACCACATATTGGGTCACAGGCAAACTCTCTCCAAATTCAAGAATATTGAAATCATATCAAGCATCTTCTCAGACCACGATGGCATAATATTAGAAATAAACTACACTTAAAACAACAACAAAAATCCAAACACTTGGAAGCTGAATAGCATGCTATTAAACAATGAGTGGGTTACCAAAGAGATCAAAGAAGAAATTAAAAACATCCTGGAAACAAATGACAATGAAAAAACTATAATCCAAAATCTATGGGACACAGTGAAAGCAGTCCTGACAGGGAAGTTTATAGCTCTACAGGCCTACCTCAAAAAACAAGAAACAATGGTAATAAATCATCTAACTCTATAACTTAAAGAATTAGAAAGAGAGCAACAAGAAAAGCCCAGAATAAGCAGAAGATCCCTGGTTCTTTCTCTACATATTAAAGTCTGAGCAGTACAGCTCCTGACACTTTCCCTTACCTCAGCGGTTCTCAACCTGTGGGTTGCGACCCCTTTGGCAGTCGAACGACCCTTTCACAGGGTCGCCTAAGACCATCCTGCATATCAGATATTTACATTATGATTCATAACAGTAGCAACATTACAGTTATGAAGTAGAAACGAAAATAGTTTTATGGTTGGGTCACAACATGAGGAACTGTATTTAAAGGGCCACAAGGTTGAGAACCACTGCCTTACCGGAAATGGAGTAAAATAAATTCAATTGATCTGTACCCTTCTGGGGTGGCGGTGGGGTGGCTGGAATGCAGAGTGTAGAGTCTGAAAGAGTTTGTTTGATAAGCCACTTGTGTATCGGGATCAAAGCTCTGATCTACCCCGCCTCCCCTCACGCCCACCATACTGTGAGATAACAGAGCACAGTGCCTAGATTATTATCTAATAGGATGGCCTGGTTAATTGCAGGGCTTTTGTTTTGTGAAGTGATGTATGCAAGTTGGGATTCTACTACTATAAGGATTCTCCCTTGTCCTTTCCCCTCATAAGATTCAACAAACCCCCCCTTAATAAAAATGTAATGTCTTTAAGGGCTCCAGGTGTAGGGGCTAACTTATTCCTTACCCAGGTGTCATTAGTGATCTCTTGCATTCTGGCTAAGTCCTGCTTCCCAGACATCAGGGAACCCAGCCACCGACTAGACACTCTTTAAATGTGAGAGTCCCTATACCAAAGGTTGAGTAGAGAGATGGACTTTTGGTTCTATGCCAGGTCATTCTGTGTTGCTCCAGAGACCCTCTCTCTGTTTCCTCATCTATCTCCCTTCTTCAGGAAGGGATAGGGAAATAGTACATCCAGGTTCCAGGCAGTGTACCCAGCATGTCCCTAGGTCCTCTCTAAGATTTGGCCCAGCCTGGACCCACAGGATACCCATCACCTGGGGCACCATCCCCAGCCTGGAACTCTGTGGGGAGCAGGGAGCTTTGGTTATATCATGTGGACTCTCACCATTTTCTTCCTGTTGTGGCACTCCATGTGCTAAAAAAGAATAGGAAAAATTATTAATAGAATGTGGTATGGTGAATTAGTCTAGACCTTGAAGGAATTGATTTAAAATCACCTCCTAAATGGCTGGGAAGACCAAGATGGAGATCACATATTTTGGGATAAGAAGCTTCCATGACCTTTAGCAGTTTGAGGACTGTAGCTTATGTTCAATAAATATTGATTCCTTTCCCTTTATTTATATTTTACTTTACCCACTAGAATTTAAGTTCTGAGATGGTATAATGGAGTTATTCATCTTTATATTCTGCCCAATATACAGTAGGTATATAATAAATGCCAGTAGGCATACAGTAAATGTCATAGAATGAACTGAGTATGAATACCCAATTTTGCTGCTTCCTAACCCCACTGGAAAATATTGTTTTCTCCCCTTTCAAAATTCAATTTTAACTCAAATTTAAAAGCACTTTACCTTTTGGCTCAGTTTCTTACATGACCCATGAGCCTTGACACCAAGCCCTAGAAATAATGCCTTGGTCACTGACTTTAACTAGCCCGTGACCTAGTCCTAGTCTAAAAAGGTCAAAAGAGGACTCTCTGGTTGGGGGCCTGATAATTCTGTGCTTCTTACGTTCTTATGGATGGATTTGTAACTTCTGCAAGTTATTTTAAATCACCAAATTATAAAATTAAAATGATACCTTCTGAATCCAACTTTGAGGTGTGTGCTATTGTTGGGGCTTCTTGCTCTGTTTTTACTTGTGATGTTGAAGGTCCTGTTAAAAGACAGAAGAGAAATACGGAAGTTGGTGAAGACAAGAGGGCGATGATATAGGCAGACACGTCCCAGGTCGTGTCCCAGAGCAAATGGAGTAATCAGCTGAAACTAATAACACCACACCGAATTGGCAAAATTACTCAGTTGGTGAGACAGTTTGCAGCCGGGAAGGGCAGAACTCCCTTGGAAAGGTAAAAAAAAACCGGGGATTTGGGCAGGAAAGTTTGCCAGA